GGCAGACTGTTAACACTAGATGAAAGACAATGGCCAGAGTAAAGAAAAAGAGGGAAAGAAAGGAAAAAAATTGGAACAAAAGGGTCGATTAGAGTGAGAGCAAGTCAGGTAAATCTTGGTGTGTGGTGCTCAGTAAGTGCAATGTGGTTTCTTATTAGGGCAAGGCAGTAACTGCTTACAGCTGGCTCTGCTGTTCCTGGCACCAGCCTGGTTGAGAACTGCAGAGAGGCACCTTGCCCTGTGGTCAGGCAGCATAATTATGTCCCCATCTTTTAAAGGAAAAAGCCTCTTCATGCACAGAACAATGCACTTTCCCCGCAGCAGGACAGATACAGAAAAGCTTATGCTCTTCAATTTATGGACTAATGCCCTAGGCACCTTGATAGGAGATACAGCTAGTCCTAGATGAAAAAGATATGCTAGGGAATGAGGTGCTTCAAAACCTTTAAACTGTTACAGGTTTAAGTACAAATGTCAACACTGAAAGTGCTTTTATCTGTCTTATCAACAGCTCAGGTTTGCTGCAGCTCTGCTCTGCATTGCAAACACAAGCTCATCCCCACGATGCTCCTTCTGCTCCCATGCTATTTTCAGGTCTATTGTCAACCTTCTGGGCTTAAAAGCTTTGGAACAAAATTACACAAGTGTCTCAGAGAAAAGTGCTCACTGCTGTTTTCTGTGAGAATTAGACCTCCCTTTGGTTTGGCTGCTCTGAGCAAGCAGGTGCATTTGCCAGGTTTCAAACCAACTGCTTGCTGCAAACAGATCAAGGCAGGAGGCAGCAAAGACATTTCAATGGAAGCCAAAGGCCCTGCTGTTAAATAGGGAGAACACAGCTCTGCAAGAACAATAATGGACATGGCAGAGTTGGTGTTCAGCTTGTCTTTTCAGTGAGGGAACCCATGGCTCCTCACAGGTTCTCCCTTGCTCTGCAGCTCAACACCTACAGGACATAACAAGAGTACATGAAGGATCTGAAATTCCTTAATTCCTGATCCACTTTAAATCTATATCTTCAAGTCAGTTTACTGGGACTTTATTCCCCCCCATATTTTATTGAGTGTACTTCTACAGGTAAATGCCCAGACCTTTAAACACCTAGCTAGCAGACACAGAGTGCTCTATAGTCAATGAAACAAAGCCCTACCCTAAAGATTTTCAGCCTGGAACACACCTCAGGAGAAGAACAAAAAATACATATATTCTGCACATGATGATTTACTTGCTTTGGAAGCTGAACTAAAGGACCCCAGACAGTATTAACAAATGAGACTAAAAAAACCCACTAATTTTGCTCAGGTTTCCATGATTTTACTGGAAGAACATTAAGTAAACTCAATTCATTTTCTTGGGCTGAATGTTTATTCCACAAAGCCAATATACAAAGGAGCTACTACTCCTAGTTTGCTGACTAACCTGCTAGCACCAGCTTACCTGGGATCACCTTTCACATCCTTCAGACATGTGCACAACTAGTATGTCAGAAACTCTCCACAAAGACCTTTCACAGCGCTTTGCCCTTCTTTAGAAGCTGTTTAACATCAGGGATTTCTCACCCTACCAAGAGAGAAAGGGGCACAGGTCCCTTGATCATGTAGACTTTTTGTATAACCAAGCTGGATCAGCAATGCTCCAAGACATCTCAACTGGGGTGAAGAGAGAAGAGCTCACATGCCTCTAACAGCATTCAACCTTCAGCCCCAAAGAACCAGGACACCCAATTTTCCTTGATGTTAGTTCTTAGCACCAGAAATACAGCAACTTACTTGCAGTGCCTACTGCAGAACCTGTCCCAGGAAGGCTGAGACATCCCATCCAACACTGATGCAATGACTTCAACACTCTGGCTGCAGCACCCTTCCCACCCTACTAAACACTGATCAAACCTCAGGAAAAAAATAAGCTCACCTATTCTGTTGAAGAAGTTTTCTAGTGCTGTGTTAGTGGAGATCAAGCAGCTACAGAACAGATGACAGGAACAACTGCACCAACAACATGGTTAGAGGTGGTTTCGGAGTGTTGCAATTTTGCTTAGCTCAGGACTGGGCAGGCAACCCTCATTGCATAGCACTGGTTTTGGCAGCGCCAGCAGCCTCACTGCTGTCTTGCTCCACACAGAGAAGGTTGCCACAGGGGCAACTTCCTCAGCCACACCTACTGAAGAGCAGAAGTTTGGCTCAGCAGGTTTAGCTGTTGGCAGAGCTGCATGGCCTCCGCAGAAAGTGAAACTGCAGTCACTGAGATCACAAGAGGTTGGGCAAGAAGGAATTAAAAAAAGGTGGCACATGGCCCAGCAACCAGCAAAATCCTCCAGCAGAGTAAGAGGCCCCTGACAAGGAACTGTGTACAAAATATGCCAGGGATGTGGAGAACAAGTCACTGTGTATTTGGCAATGCTTGACTTGCCTAGACTGCAAAGTTAACAACCACCTTGCTAAGCAAACAGTCTCTCTCAGGC